TGCCAAAAAGAGTTTACTGTGGGAGTACTACACTCAACCAACACCAGGGAAGGCAGTTTTTGTCAGAGCCCTTGTTATTCTTAATTTTGACATTAATTTTCATTTTTACACCAGACATATATATCGGTTTAAAATATCGGTTATCGGTCTACTTGATCTGTAATAATCGGTATCGGCATTGGCCTTGAAAAACACATATCGGTCGACCGCTAGTTTTAAGTGCAGCGCAGAATGCCTTCTCTGCCATGTTGCTGTCAAATAAAACTGTTGCTATAATGTAACATGCTGCTGTAAACAAAAGCTGGCAATGTGTGCCCCGCCTCCAAAGTCTTCTGATTGGTCCACTCTTTCGTAACTGACATTGATGAGTGGCACTGCGTGTAAAAGTGGAAATTCTTTTAACGTGACACTAAAAACGCGACAGTCTTGTGAGACGCTGCTGAAGATGCGAGACACAAGCGTAGTGGTCATACACGTCTAGTCTTGCGTAGCCAGACCTTTATACTGACGGCAAAAGGTTAAGCAACCGATCACGTTCCGTTTTGTGCCGCGTCATGTTTAGGGGCGTGGAAATGTCCCCACAATAACAGACCGGTGTGTAAAACTCTTGGAAGTATTTTAAAGATTCTATGGCGTGAACTTTTGAAAATCCAGCGTTCAGTTGATCCTGATAAGCGCTTATTATCACAGTTGTAAACACGACGGCTTTCTTCTAACATGAGGGGGTTTGGCGTCACAGCATATTTGTTTCCAGGTGGAACGTTAAAGAACGCGACATGCACGTCTCCCGGAAATCCTGTGTTTCAACCAATCAGATGACGACTTCGAAATTAACCTTGGCCGCTTTGAATGGCCAAGTACCACCCAAGATGTCATATGACTGACAGGTAAAGCAACCAATCACGTTTCGGTTTGTGCCGCATCATTTTTAGGGGCGTGGAAATGTCCCCACAATAACAGACCGGTGTGTAAAACTCTTGGACATATTTTAAAGATTCTATGCAGCATGTTTACATAGAAAAACATTGGAAAAATAGAGCATTAGAATGAACGGCCCCATAGAATCTATAGACTTCTGGTATTTTCTGTGCTGACTTTGGTGGAAATCAGAGAGTAGAGAGTAGGGCTGGGCGATATGACGATATTATCGTATATCGACGATGTCTCGTAAGTATCGCGATGTCGATGTCAAC